CAGGACAGAGCAGAGTTTAGGGCTGTTGTACATAGGGTCGCTATGAGTCACAAGCGACTTGACGGCACATAACAACAACAACAACAACAACAACATATAAAGACTTTTTGACTACAGATGAGGTATAAACAAGGGATGGATTTATTATCTGCTTAGAATGCATTGGAAATGATTCCATCTTTGGAGAAAATTTGTCTGTATGACAAAAAAAAGGAAAAGATAATATGGATTGGAGAAAACATATAAAGAGTAAGAGATCTGCTGGATCTTAATCTATCCTGAGAATGTAAAAGTTCCTTACATAAAAGGACTCTTTGAACATCACTTGAGGAAATAGAATTAGAACCCTTCTCTCCTAGCTCCATTCTCTCCTAGGTCATGAGAAAGCTTAAAGTGGTAGCCTAATGGATAAAGAAATCTGCTCCTAACCCAAAGGCACGCGGTTCAAATCTGCAAGCTACTCCACAGGAGAAAGACTGGTAATCTACTCTTTTGCAAATTTCAAGAAAAATTCACTGGAGGGTTAGCTAGGGGTGGGTTCTGACTTGACAGTACACAGCAACCCCATTAATTTAATATGTATGTCAAATATTAATCTTTGAGCTAGAAATCCGGTGGGTAATAAATTTCTTTTAATAATTTCAATCTCTTTTATCTTATGATATTTTACTCTTCTCATATATCCCTTCTTGTCCAACATGAGAAATTTGGAAACTCACTTTGAAAAGTAAGTAAAGAATAATAGAGCCAAAAGCAAGAATAGATGTAGCGATGGTCTTAGTTTCTTCATACATAAAAAATGAGAGCATTGTACTTTTTAAGCTCTAAGTCTCCTTCTAACTTAAAAAAAGAATCTAGTTTCATGAAACTAAAGTATTTGAGAAATGTAAGAGGAAATGTTTAGGTAGCAATTCACTTGAGACTCAGAATGCTAGAGGCTAGAGGTAGAAAAAGAAACTTCATATTATATATTTTAAATGAACTGAAACTAAGAAAATGTTATTAGGAGACAGTATCATAACTGGAAATTTTAATTAATAAACACATTCAGTATAGCATGACCTCTCAGTTCAAATATTCAGTTTTCTGAAAGAAAAAAAAGGCTTTAAAATTTTAAATGCCTTCTGAAAAGAGTGAATCCTGATCAGTAAGAATATCTCAGATTTTCTATTGTCCTTTGTGTAGTTAGTCATGTAGATGATATTTTTATTTGGCTGACTTTCCTAGTGATAGAAAAGAAATGGATTTGGAAGTAGAGGTTGAGAAGAGAGGACTACATTCTGTGTGCTAAACCTAGACCTTGAGCTCTTGGGGCAAGGTGGGAGGAGAAGTAGAAG